TGTTGATAAATTCAGTTTTTGATAGTCTAAGAGTATCTCTATTAAGGCAAAATAAAATTTAGTTAATTATAGAATTCTAGGTTAATAGTTAATTTTTCTCAGCCCTTTGAAAATATACTAATGTCTCTAAGGCTTCCATTGTCGTTATTGAAAAGTATATTCGTTTTCTGTTACTGCCATACCAATTACAACTTTAATGGTTTAAGACAGTACAAATTTACTGACTCACAGTTCTGTAGGTCTTAAGTCAGGTATGGGTCTCACTGGGCTAAAATCAAACTATTGGCAGACTTCACTCCGTTTTGGAAGTTTCTGAGTCCATTTCCTCGCTCACTCAAGTGTTGGCAGGTTCAGTTCCCTGCAGCTAAAGGACTAAGATCTCAGTTCCCTTGCTGGCTGTCAGTTGGGGACCACCTTTACCTTCTAGAAGCTTCTCTGGTCTTTGCACGTGGCCTGCTAGAGCCAGCCCAAGTCATCAAATCCTTCCTATGCTGCCTTCGCTTTGACACAGCTAGGAAAGGTTCTCTACTTTTAAAGACTTAATGTGATAGACTGGGTCTATCTGGATAACCCCGGCTGATCTTCCCATCTGAAGGGTAACCTTATATCACATCTGCAAAGTTCCTTCTGCCATGTAAGGTAACATATTCACAGATTCAGGAGATTTAAGTGGGGGTATCTTTGCAATGGGCAGGGGAGGACATCATTTTGCCTACCGCAGGAAGTATGCTGTCAGCCTGTCACTCCATTGTAGATGATGTAGCTGTTCTCTCTGACTGCCTTTAAGATCACCTCTTTAGTGGTCTATGGTTCCACTACGATGTTTCTTGGTATGAATTTTCCTTATTCCTGTGAGCATTGCTTTTCCTCCATTTTCTTTTCAAATCCCCATTAAACACCTGCTAGATCTTTCAAATCTGTCTTCTCACCCTCAGTTCTGTTCCAAAGGCCTCATGCCCATATCCAAGGGCAGCCTTCATGTCCAAGCCTGATCCTTGCAAATGGTCACCCATTGGTCATTCTTGATGCAGACTGTGGCACAGGCCACCCTTGGAAGGAGAGACCCGAGAAAGAGGCCCATCAGGCCTTGAAAGTAGATTGGAACTATTTAGGCAGGAAATTTGGGGGTACCAGCTACCCGATGGATGATTTAGGAGTGACGTGTCTTAAGTTTTAAATGAGTATATTCTTTTGACCCTGTGAACTCCTCAAACTACAGGTCTAAGGCTGGGCTTCTCTTCCTATATCCAAGGCAGCAACATATGAGACAACAAGCATGCCTTTTCAAAAGGAAGAATGCTGGTACCGTACGGTGAGAAGGAGGAAGTATTCAGTGCAAGAGGCCAGGAATGTGAGGGTCAGCACCTCTGCACTGCAGAACTCTCAAGTGAAAGTTGGGCTCAGTCACATTGGCTGCAGCCCTTACAAGGGCTATTCTCTATGCATAAAATATTATTCTGATTCTGCTGCCTATTTCCTGCTTCCTTATTTGCCTCTTTCAAATTTCTCAGGTCTCAACTTGAGTTTCACATTTAGAAGGCCTTCCTATGAACCTTTAATTACTTTATCCTTTTCCCCCTCAAATTTTCCCAAAGAATCTGTACTTCCTCTTTTGTTATACCTAATTACACTTGTTAAGTTGTCCACATCTGCCTTTCTGATTAGTCAGCCTGAAAGCTTTATGAGGACATTTGTTTTGTCCATCATCATATCCCCAGCACCCAAAAGGTGACTGAAACACATCTGGTGATCAAAAACTATTTGGTGAATTAATAATTTGGCCTCATGGTGCATGAGTAGCCTTGCTTAATATGGCTGAATCCAAACAGGGTATCAGTAGAGTATCAGCCTTTTGATGTCTGTCCATTTCAAATAATTTTACTTTATACATTATTTTTCAAAGCCAGTTACTCAGACAAATGTGATTTATTTTGATATCTAAAGCACTACATAAGATTCTCTGAAAACTCTAACATCATCCTGCTGTTCTAATATGTTACACTATCACTGTTTTAGAAAATAAAAGGCTTGGATTATGCACTAGAAAAACCTCTTCATTACATGTAAAATGTTTTCACTGTAACCTACAGTAAAGGAAATGAAAGGACAACTTGAAGGAAAGGGGATGGTTCTGAAAGTGCTTTAGTTGCTATCTACCCATCCACCCCCAGGAGATGAAGACAAAGATAAAGAAACTAAGATGCCAGTATGTTGCTGGTCCACTTGACATATGCAACCACTCTGAGTCGTTGATGGTCATTACTTGGTTGGTTCCTCCAAAGTAAGGACATGCCAGGGGTTAAAATCATGTGAGGTTAATCAACAGGGCTGCCACTTGACAATTTCCTCCAACGCTGCTCTGGAGACATCACTGGTCCTGATGAGTAGTCCTGTGGCTGTACATGATCCTGGGCACAAGTCCACAAATACAGGGGTGCAGCCTGCAAGCTACTAAAAATAACAAAGGTTTCAGGGCTGGAGACATTGTCGACCACGCTGTCATGGCTCTCTATGACTCCAGGACTCAGTGGTGGGGGAACAATATTTAAGTGATGACCCTGACAGAAGGAGCCTGTGAGGACTTCGGCCTCAAACACATAGATCAGCTTGTCTGTGGCAGGTGTTTTCTTCACCTGGCATGCTAGGTTTATGAGGTTCTTGGTGAAGTATATGCCAGCTCCATATTTTGGGTCTGATGAAAGAAAAAAAATTAAAAGATTAATATGAGCTGATGAACATACTGCCCACTGGGGTACTAAGATGTATTCTCTCTCTAGTCTTCCAAGTAATCGCTGTCTCTTGGTCCCAAGTCCCTGTGTCTATAGCAAAGACACCTTTAGACAAATTATCACTAATATATTAACATAATAACAGCTTACATTTAAATATATCTTCCTTCCTTTTTGTTTCTTTTCCTTCCTCTCTTTTTCTTTTTTTACATTTATTTGGGACTTAACAAGGTTCAGGTTCTAGAGCAACACTGAACAACGGATACACAATGTGGACCACATATGTAACTTTAAATTTTCTAGTAGCCACATTAAAAAAGGTAAAAAGAAACAGGTGAAATTAATTTAATATTTTTATTTAACCTAGTATATCCAAGACATTATCATTTCAACATGAAATCAATATAAAAAATGTTGAAGGAGGTATTTTACATTCTTTTTCTTGGTAGTGGTCTTTAAAAATCCAGTGTGTATTTCATACTCACAGAATATCTCAATTCAGATTAACCACATTTCAAGAGATCAGTAACCACATGTGGCTAGTGGGCACCATACTGGATAATATAGCTCTAAAGCTTCAAAAACGACTAACACATCATTCATCCTTAATCTGAAAAGTTCACAAAGGGGAACTCCCCACATGCAAACAGTTAAAACATGGCACAACTTTATGTGGCAAAGAAATATTATGAGATAAAAATCAAAGATTTATTTCCTGGGAGTTTCTTCTTGCTTTTTGTCCCTATACCCATTGAATTCTTGCTACTTATTAACCTCAGGGGAAAAACAGAAAGCTTAGAACAAAATCAATGGAATATAGAAATAATAGATATTACACTTGTTAAGTTGTCCACATCTGCCTTTCTGATTAGTCAGCCTGAAAGCTTTATGAGGACATTTGTTTTGTCCATCATCATATCCCCAGCACCCAAAAGGTGACTGAAACACATCTGGTGATCAAAAACTATTTGGTGAATTAATAATTTGGCCTCATGGTGCATGAGTAGCCTTGCTTAATATGGCTGAATCCAAACAGGGTATCAGTAGAGTATCAGCCTTTTGATGTCTGTCCATTTCAAATAATTTTACTTTATACATTATTTTTCAAAGCCAGTTACTCAGACAAATGTGATTTATTTTGATATCTAAAGCACTACATAAGATTCTCTGAAAACTCTAACATCATCCTGCTGTTCTAATATGTTACACTATCACTGTTTTAGAAAATAAAAGGCTTGGATTATGCACTAGAAAAACCTCTTCATTACATGTAAAATGTTTTCACTGTAACCTACAGTAAAGGAAATGAAAGGACAACTTGAAGGAAAGGGGATGGTTCTGAAAGTGCTTTAGTTGCTATCTACCCATCCACCCCCAGGAGATGAAGACAAAGATAAAGAAACTAAGATGCCAGTATGTTGCTGGTCCACTTGACATATGCAACCACTCTGAGTCGTTGATGGTCATTACTTGGTTGGTTCCTCCAAAGTAAGGACATGCCAGGGGTTAAAATCATGTGAGGTTAATCAACAGGGCTGCCACTTGACAATTTCCTCCAACGCTGCTCTGGAGACATCACTGGTCCTGATGAGTAGTCCTGTGGCTGTACATGATCCTGGGCACAAGTCCACAAATACAGGGGTGCAGCCTGCAAGCTACTAAAAATAACAAAGGTTTCAGGGCTGGAGACATTGTCGACCACGCTGTCATGGCTCTCTATGACTCCAGGACTCAGTGGTGGGGGAACAATATTTAAGTGATGACCCTGACAGAAGGAGCCTGTGAGGACTTCGGCCTCAAACACATAGATCAGCTTGTCTGTGGCAGGTGTTTTCTTCACCTGGCATGCTAGGTTTATGAGGTTCTTGGTGAAGTATATGCCAGCTCCATATTTTGGGTCTGATGAAAGAAAAAAAATTAAAAGATTAATATGAGCTGATGAACATACTGCCCACTGGGGTACTAAGATGTATTCTCTCTCTAGTCTTCCAAGTAATCGCTGTCTCTTGGTCCCAAGTCCCTGTGTCTATAGCAAAGACACCTTTAGACAAATTATCACTAATATATTAACATAATAACAGCTTACATTTAAATATATCTTCCTTCCTTTTTGTTTCTTTTCCTTCCTCTCTTTTTCTTTTTTTACATTTATTTGGGACTTAACAAGGTTCAGGTTCTAGAGCAACACTGAACAACGGATACACAATGTGGACCACATATGTAACTTTAAATTTTCTAGTAGCCACATTAAAAAAGGTAAAAAGAAACAGGTGAAATTAATTTAATATTTTTATTTAACCTAGTATATCCAAGACATTATCATTTCAACATGAAATCAATATAAAAAATGTTGAAGGAGGTATTTTACATTCTTTTTCTTGGTAGTGGTCTTTAAAAATCCAGTGTGTATTTCATACTCACAGAATATCTCAATTCAGATTAACCACATTTCAAGAGATCAGTAACCACATGTGGCTAGTGGGCACCATACTGGATAATATAGCTCTAAAGCTTCAAAAACGACTAACACATCATTCATCCTTAATCTGAAAAGTTCACAAAGGGGAACTCCCCACATGCAAACAGTTAAAACATGGCACAACTTTATGTGGCAAAGAAATATTATGAGATAAAAATCAAAGATTTATTTCCTGGGAGTTTCTTCTTGCTTTTTGTCCCTATACCCATTGAATTCTTGCTACTTATTAACCTCAGGGGAAAAACAGAAAGCTTAGAACAAAATCAATGGAATATAGAAATAATAGATATATATATAGTTATTTTTAATCAAAGTAGAGTATACAGTCTTAGAAAATATGACTTTCAGAGTTAGGTTTTCTGAGCAAGGACAATAGTTGTTTGAACCACTCAGAGCATGGAGCCTATACCATGTATGACAGAGAAAAGAACACAAAATATTTGAAGAACAGTTTTCTCACTTCAAGATAAATGACATTTCTGCCATCCAGATGGTGGGAAGAGAAGAATCAGAGAGGGCCAGACTAAACTTGTGGGGACTCTGAAGAAGGGGCTCCCTTCACTACTCCACGGCCTCAAGAGAACCTTGGAAGTCCAAATGCAGAATAGAAATCTCAGAAAAACTGGGGGGGACTTGCAAAGCAGGAGGGACTAATTCCTGGCTCTGCTGCATGCAGTGCCTTCATCCAGTTTGGCACCTGAATGCCAGAAAGCAGCAATGGCTGGAGAAGACGTCCAGAACAGGTGAGGACTGCCACATAACACTCTACTTTTCAGCTGAAGAATGTGCATACGCACACATTTCCTGTGCTGTACAACATGGCCTGGAAGAGAATTCCCTTGGCATAAAAAAGAGTGCACTCTGTAGACACTGTCCAAGAAGAAAGGGCACAAGGAAGTTCAGCACAGGAGGGTGCTAATAGCCAAAGCCCAGGGTAGCTTATCTGGCAGAGAACCACCAGAAGGGGAACCTGAACTAGACCACCCTCCCAACAATGCCTGTCCCACTATCTAGAGCACTTTCAGATAGAAGAGGACAAGAGGGGGCAAAACCTTGCAGGAACTGAGTTTAAACCCCAAAGGGTCTAAGAAAACTGAAAAACAATTGAATTTATCTTGATCTGTCAGGATGGAGTTTTCCACATCTGCAGACAATGGGAGCAATGAAAGCTTGGTGAAGTTCAGTTACAGAGCCATAAAGAGAACAGCCCCATGTCTGAGTTTTGTGGGACTATAAATGTTCATACTTGTTAGAGAAGTAACAAAAGAATGGAAGAAGTGCAGGAGCACAGGGGAGGAAGCAATTCACTGAGCCTGCAGAAACAGGAGAAGGTGTCAATCAGGAGATGCCATTTGTGCTACATCTTCAAGGAGTAAGAGTTTGCAAGGCTGAAAAGGGTGAGGAGGGAAGGCATTCCACACAGAAGGGCACATAGAGGCATGAAAGCATACAGCATATTTAGGAAACTCTAGGAAGCTCAAGGTTAGGGTTCACGGAGGAACGTAGTGAGTGATAAGGCTGGTGAAATAACATGGGGCTAAGGTCTTACATGCTCAGGTAAAGAATCTGGGTCTTTACATTGTAGGCAACTAGGAATGCAGAATTGGCTGGAATGCAAGCAAAGTAAAAAGAAAAAAAATAAAGCTTTGTTAATAGAAGCTCCCTCGGCCTCAGGGTGGCATCTTAATTGACTGAGAGTTGCTTGAAAGGACTTGGAAACTTGGAGGGGAGAAAAAGCCAAGAGCCTTTGTGCTACAGATGAAAACTAGATTTTAAAAAAATGAGCTGCAAAACAACTTCAGTGGTGATAAAACTGATGTCTCCTGGCTTCTCAAGCACCTTCACCTATGTGTTCTCACCAGACACATGGACTTCCTAATGAGTCTATAGTCGGAACTGCCCAAGGGTAGTGGCTGTTAAGCTATAGGCAAGGGAAATGGGTAGAGCACAGAGATCAGCAAGTAAAAGATCAGAACCCTGAGGATTAAAGACTAGATGGAGACAAGATCTTTGTCTAAGTTATAAAGACACAAACTTGACCAGAAGCAAACTGCCTCATGCCTGCCGACTTTTTAAAGGAATTGTAAGCCGGAGAAACCCGCAAGCCTGGCTGTCAGCAGCCTGAGAGCCTTCTTGTCCCTGAGCCAGTCCTTGGACCCCTGGGGGGCAGTGGGCCTAGAAATGACCAAAGGAGGGTACATTAGGAAGGTTTTTCCAGAGTGCAAAACAAGTGTTTTTTCCACTCCCAGAATAGAGTCATCGCTATTCCTGTCCAGCAGCGTGTGATCTGTTGTGGACGGGTGACTTGGTTGTTTGGCTTCTCCCTTTTCCAAGTGGGAGTTTTTACTGCAGTTTGTCGGCTCCTTCAATGCATTGTTATGAGAGTCTGTTAGGGCAATTCCATTGCCTTTATGCTTTGAGAGAGGACTGCCTGGGCTTGAGACTGATGATGTGACAGGATGAGATGTTGGAACTATCTACCTTGGAAGGATGGTGGGTGTCTTAGATCTTTTGGGAAGAAAGATGTGTAGAGATGTTAGGTAAGTGATTAGCAGGTGTCTTCTGCAAGACTGACAAGAGGGCACTTGCTGAATACGGAAAACAGGAGAAAAGAGATGATCTTAGAATAGTTTAGGTAGGAGGGATGGGGTGGGAAGAGGAGCCCATTGCAAAGGTAAGTTGTGAATTTTTAAGACTTTAAGGACCATACCAATCATCACTTTCCTCATTCCACTCAAAAGCTTCTTAGTGAGGATTCATTTATCAATTTTTATCCCCAGGAATTGCCCATGTTCAATATTTACCCCAGGTATTGCTTATATTCTCTTTGGGGCAAAGAAAAAAGAATTTCCAGGCCCTTTGTTTTCTAGACATCTGGACTTGGAGTTGGCTGCACAGCAAAGATCATGTTTCATACATTGACAGGTAAAGATCAAGAGCCACATATGAAACGGACCAAATTCAAGCTACACGGCAAATTCAAGCTACACGGCTAGGTATCCTCCATGATCATGATTAACTTCTTAGCCTCCTTTGGACAGCTATCAAAGGGGCAATACAGCAATTTAGTGTGCAATATTTCTGTACAACTGAAGAGACACAGAAGCTACACAGTGAATTTCATAGCTCAGAAGGATCTTAAGAAGTTATTCACTTTCCTGCCAGATAATACCTAATTCATTCATTAGCAGACTACAGGAAATGAAGAAGATGAAGAGAAAGGACCAACTTTATTAAATTCAGGAAAATGCCCTTTTAATTAAGTGATGAGGATAGTTTGCTAGTGTTGATAATAATTTTGTTGAGACAAGCCAAAAACCAAAAACCAAAATCTCTAGGTTCTCTGCAGGTAAAATGCATAAACACAAAAAGAGAATAGCTGGGAACTGCAGATCTTATGGCTAACCGTTTCATCAACATAAAGCCCCTCAGCAACAAAATATATTAAGGGAAAATAAAAAATATGATCCTTCCCAAATGACTTCACCTCTAAATGCCAGTCAAATGACCCTCTCCCCACAGGAACAAATGACATTTTATTAGTGGTGCATCATCTGCAGCAGTCCTGCTCACCAGTTCCCACACACAGTAGCCCCAGTTAGGAGGGGCTGCCACCTACCGCAGGGCCCTGAGTACATTCTTTGAAAGCCAACTCTGCATACCACTTTGCAGAACTGCCACGGGACATGCTGAAACAACCTGTGGCTCACAGGTTCCCTAGGCATTCTCTCTTCCATCGTTATTTTCTTTCCTTGGAAGGCAGCCATGAGAACTGCATTATCTATCTTCTCCACCTATAACCCAAGGAAATGAAAAACTGAAAAAGATACAAGAGAAAAACTGCTACCTAAATCACCTGGTACTCTGCTTCAAAAATAAAGACACTTAACAGGCATATAACCATGTACACAATTTGCTTTGTCTGTTCTTTGATTAATTCATTTAATAAAAATTTACTGAGTGATCACTGTGTGCCCAGCATTGGGAATGAAATGGTCAAAAATGTAAACATAAATTTTGCCCTCTTAATGCTCGTAGTTTATAATATGTAGTATTATTTATCATAATATATGTAATGTAACATGTATTTATTATATATCAATTATAATACAGTGTAAGAAATGCTATTCGATTTCTTTTGTTTTGCTTCATGATACACAGATAGCTTTATCCTGAGTCCTGGTCTATGTGTCTGTACATCCTAACATCATTTCTGCCTCGTGATTCCAACCATACCCCTCATACCAGCCCATACCTGCCCTTCTTCCCATTTTATTCCTAGGATTCCAGGTCAATGAGCAGCTAGCTTAGAGCCATCAGGAGGTGAGTTTTTCTTTTGGCTAACAGAACCAAGTGGTAGCAAGATGAATCAAATCCTGCCCTTAATTAAGTATACCTTTATAACCTGTAAACCACAGCTTTCAAACTGTTTCTTCTGATCCTGAATTTCTTGAGCTGAAAGCATTAGGCGTTTCAGAAATGTATTTTCTTTCATTTCATCCTGGATTTTTGGTTGCTGAGCAGTCCACTGTCCTAAAAATGAGTATCACAAAACTTTGTCTTAATGCTCTGTGCAAGAGAAAAGGTATGTAAAGAAATTAATGAAACAAATTATAGGAATTTGGAGGAATCAATTAGCCAGTTTAAACTGTATGCTTCATATGTTTAGGCCATGCAAGGGGAGCTAGGATACTTTAAGAAGCCACAGAATAAAAGAGGGGGTCCTTGGCTGATTTGGGTTTTGAGGCTAGGGGGATCAGAGAAAAAAGAGCATTAGTATATATGCTGTAATAATGATATATAAAATGTGTGGCTAATAGGAAGTGTTTGTATTTCTAGCCAGGCTGCCCATCAACAAAAAGAGACAGAGATAAGAAAACATTAAGGAATTATATGGAAAACAAGACATTTGTACAAAGTATTAAGATTTTCAAAGACTTCTTATCTTTCTTTACCTCATTTGGTTACTATACCACCTCCACTGAAATAATTAACATACTTTTACAAATAATACATACAACTTAGAGAAGTTAAATGATTTGCCCTGTAATGCACAACTAATAAATACAGATCCAGGATTATAAAATTGGCTTTCACCAATGTTTTCTGTAAGGCACTAAGTGAACTACTTGGTATATATATCACTCACATGCCACCCAACCACAAAGAGTAAAATTTGGATATTGAGAGTCTATGGTGTCATATCTTTCCTCCCTTCCTTCCTTTTTTCCTTCCTTCTTTCCTTCCTTCCTCTCTTCCTTTTCTTCCTTCCTTTTTTAGATTTAAGGGACAGCCTGTTATTGCCTAAAGGATCTCCTTTTTGGAGTAAACATAGAGGTGGACAAAATGGAAACCCCACAAAGGCTTATTTTCTTTTAGTGTATTTTCAGTTGGACTTAAGACCATCTAAAATGACCCAATTCCCAACATATTATCCAACTGAGCAAGCTCAATTTAACCACATAAAGCAGATGTTAGATCCAGAGAAACTTGCTAGAGGACCAAGTTGTAAATCTGGAAGGCAGGAAAGACAATACTCCATAGCAGAGGAATTCCAAAGCCAGGAAATATTAAAGGAAGAGACTGTACATAGCTGACATTTACAAAGTATACTCTTAGAACTCAGTTCACTTCTCGAGTTCAGCAAATATTGACTGAGCTCCTATTACATACATGTCAGGCACTGGGCTGGGTGCCAGAGACTCAAAGGTCCACAAACTCCTCTCAGAAGCACTTACCAGGAAGGATAAAAAGAGCAACATAAAAGAGGAGACAATTAACTTCTGTTACTTAAATTTTACTGTTCTGATGGGTAGTTGATCTTCCCAGTACTAACAACTCACTTCAAAATTATCCATTTTGTTAAGGAAGACCTTAATCTGATTATGAGGGTGAGCCTGTATGAATCTCTGAAATGCTGCTGGGAATAGTATGCTTACTCATAAATGACCAAATATGTCACCTTGTAACAGAACAAGGGACTTGCATGACTAAATGGCCAATAGCTGAGAGACTGGGTCAACCTTGTATTATGAACGCAGTTTAAAATAATGCCACACGCTTTACAGGAGATCAATGTTTGTCTCTCGTCCGGTTGAGAAGTATCAGTGTCAGTTTAAATATCCAGTCATTACATTTCAAAAGCTAAGTAGAGAGCATATCTCCAGTCTCATTCTTGTTTATTATTTTTGTCCATGGTTTTTGGCACGGGGTTTTCTAGGAGTGTGGATACATTTATTGCCAACTCTCACTCACTTTGACCATTTCTGCCTGAACTATTTCTACAAACACATGGTGAAAATAAGGTGCCCTTTGAAATTTTGCATCAGAATTTTTGTACCAAACCCATCTTCCACATTACAGCTAGAGACCTTTCTAAAATAAAAGTTTAACTTTATCTTTGCTTAAAATCCTTCAAGGCTCCCCATGGGTTTCAAGAAAAACTCTGAACTCTTTCATGTGATTTATAAAGTCTTGCATGATCCAGACCCTGCTATCATCTAATTTCTTACAGTTTCTTTCTTCACCTTACTAACTTCTGCTTATTTATTCTTCATTCTCCTTTTATGACCCTTCCTCTCAGAAGCTTTCCCCTTGACCTCCCAAGTGTGGGTTAGGTGCCTAAACTGGTGTTCTGAAATCAATTCCAATGTGTGTGTGTGTGCGTGTGTGTGTGTGCATGTGTGTGGAGGGTGTGCCCACACATACAAACAAGCAATTCATGGAGACCAGCAGGGTGTCCGAAAATCCAGCTCAATTCTGACGCTATCTATCCAGAGATAGCATCAGATTCATATGTTAAGGGTTCAGTCCTACAAGACTGTCCCCTCCCCAACCCAGTCACAACCCAGGCTGATATCTTGATGCACTTCCTATAAATCAGAGGTTCCCATTATTTCCTCCTTTTGTTCAATTAATTTGCTAGAGCAGCTCACAGAACTCAGAGAAATACTTTACTTACTTGATTACTGGTTTCTTATAAAGGCATATAACTGAGGTACAGTCACATGGAAAACATGCTTAGGACAAGGCATGGGGAAGGGGGCAGGGCTTCCAGGCCTTCTCCCAGAGCTCCACTCCCCCCTAGTCTCCAGGTATTTGCCAAACAGAAGCTCCCTGAGCCCTGCCCTTCCTGATTTTTTATGGAGGCTTTGTTACAGTCATGATTGGTTAAATCCTCAGCCATTAGCAATTGATCCAATCTCCAGCCCTCTCCCCTCCTTGGAGGTCAGGGGTTGGGACTGAAAGGGCCAGCCCTCTAATTACATGGTTGGGTCTCCAGGTGAACAGTCCCCATCCTCAGGTGCTTTCCAAAAGTCACCTCATTAACATAACAAAAGACAGTTTCCATTCTTAACAGAAAATTCCAAGAGTTTTGGGAGCTCTGAGCCAGGGCCTGTGGACAGCGACCAAATATATGCGACAAATATGTTTTGATCATCTGAATGGCCAAATACAAATTCCTCATATTTCACAATATCACAGCGCCTCTTCCAGGTGCTGGCAGCCCAGAGCACTTTTCATCTTCCTCTTACATAACTTATCTGCTGACTTCCCAGTATCCCCAATTAGATTTTGAATGCAAATAATGTCCATCTTACCACTGTATCCCCAGCACCTAGCACAACATTTGGCAATTTCACAGATGCAACATACATTAGTTGCATAAACAAATGAAATAGCCTCTGTGTTTACCAAGGCGGCATTTTCAATGGGAGGATTTCCTAGTCAGCTCTTGGGCTGTGTTACAAGGATCACTCTCCAGACTCAAATTCCTAGTCATCCTGATGGGGTTTGCCCCACTGAATGGGTGACACTTGAGTGTACCTCACAGTATGAATGAATAATTTGTTTTGGTGAGAGGGCTCAAAGTAAGTGATTTTAGGGTTCCTAATGTTGCCAGAAACAAATTAATAAAACTCAAAGAAATGAATTAATCAAATGGAATGTGCTTACATTTGATTGCTCCATCTTTAGAGGTAGGGATGTAGTTTCTTTCCCCAGAGGCTGCTCTTGGGTTACCCTAGGCTTTCCATGTAATTGCCTCTTAGGAAATCCACCTCACCATAAGTATGTGCGTGAATGTGTGTGTGTGTTTATTTACTAACAGTTAACCCTGCTGGTTAGGAAGCCACAATACGGTTATGAAAGTTTATGGCCTAACACAGAAGCAGCATGGTTTCTCTCTCCTCTTCCAGTCCACCTCTCACCCACCTACACACATGCAAGCTCACACGGGAAAGAAGGAACAATTGGGAGAGTTGACTCTTCAACTTAATAGAAAATCACTCACCTGACAAGCTCCAAAGGGCTTGCTCCTTTTCTCTTGCCAGTTCCTCTTGAACTTTACACAGCATATGCTCGATATTCAAAACCACTTGAACGAGGTCACCCTGGGCTCCTTTAATCTCTAGCATTGCCTTTTCTGGACTGATGATCTCTGAGATAGAGACGCTTGAAGTTCTCTGAAGCTGAAGCAAAATATCATGTTCCTTTTTCCCCAGGTAGAGGATATGATTATTCTCAATGATGTGTTGGTCCTGGAGTGTCAGTATCTTTTGGATCCATACTTGGGCCTCACGCATGCTTTCTAGGTTGAATCCCATCAGGCTGATGGCAGGAGATCGAACTTTAAGCCCATTTTCTCTTTCTTCCTCTCTGGTCCACTCAGGGACTGAAAAGACTAAGATAAGCAACCACAGAAGACAAGTGGGTTTTAAACCAGAGCAAAACAAAACACCAAAGCAGTGTTTGCCTGGAGGATATTGTCACCATTATCAGCAGTAGCAGCTCCAACTAAGAACCTATTTCTGAGAGCTCAGCTGGGTACAAAGGAAATCTAAACATATAGCTTACAGTCTCTTGAGAAAACACAATTTAGCTTGTAGTGGGTTGGCTCTAACAAGTCTTGCCTCTGCTGTGTTGAATTTGTCAGTTCACAGGTGAGTTCAACTTGTGATCTCACCCTGGATGTTAAGCCACTATTATTTCCTGCTGAATGGGATTTGCATGAACCTCTTGCTACTACTACCCAGTTTAAAATCAAACTCTGAAAGCTGTAGAGCTCAGAGAGTGAAAATTCTGTAAAAAACAACAAAAAAGCATGTATTTCTGATTATAAAAATATTTTATTATTGATAATTGGGATCAAAGTACAATAAAAAGAAAAAATATCACAATTCCACTACCTAGGATTCCTATTTATATCTTATCTGTGTGTGACAGACCATTTTGCACCTCCACAACAAAATCCAGGGCTTAGCTGCTGCTTAACATAGTATATTCCATCATGTGCCCCTCTCTACAACCCCCTTCCACAAGAAGTAAATATATAAAGAAGAAGAATCTGATGTATTAGAATGACTCTGAACTCATATTGCAAAAAGAAAAAAAAAAGGTGGGGGCTGGGGTATGCAATGGACTAGCTGAGAGGGATTTTTGGGTGGCACAGTATCTAGAATGTATAAAGAATTCCCTCAAATCATTAAAAAAACCAGCAGCCAGCTGGGCAAAAGATTTCACACAGAAGGAAATACAAACGGCCCATATATATGTGAAAAGATGTTTATCTTCATTGGTAATCAGGGATACGAAAAATCACCCACCAGTTTGACAAAAAATCATTAAGTCTGACAATATCAAGTATTGGGAAGGATGTAGAGCAACTAGAACTCCTATATATCCATGAGGGATGTAAAACTGGAACACCCACTCCTAAAATGATATTATTTAAAGGAACTTTTGCACATGGCTATCAGATGTGTGCAAGAAAGTTCACATCTTGTTTGTAACAGCAAAAAACTGGAAATTATGCAAATGTTCTTCAACAACAGAATATTATAGCAATGAAAAGGAGTGAGCTTTAGCTACCTGGATAAATCTCAGAGACATATTTTGAAGGCAAAGAGCAAGGTGAGCACTTGCTATGTTCTAGGCATTGTTTTAAGTGCTTTATAATATATTATTTTATTCAATCCTTGCCACCCTACGAGGTAAGTAGCCCCACCTTAAAGTGAGGGAACTGATTCAAAGAGTTATTAAGTAACTTGCCCATAGTTATAGGACTCGTAGAGTGGTGGCCCTGGAGCCCATGGGTGTGTGCAGCAGTCTGACTCCGGCACTCCTGTAATTCTGCCTCCCAGTGAGTGATCCCAGGGCAATAGTGGTAATTAGCATCTTTCCCCCATGTGGTAGTTGGGTGGTACCAGGAGCTATGACAAAGTGCCAGGACAGACCTAGCAGAAAGAGGGAGAGGATGGCATAACGAAAGCCTATGTTTTAGACAACAGTGAGAATTGACAGTGCTCATAAGGGAGGCATAGTTGTTTTTCTTTTTTAACCCTTATTCTGCCTGGAAGCTTCTATTACTTTTTAGGAGAAAAATAAAAACAATACATGATAATACTTCATTTATTCATTATTATCAGGGAAGAAGAATAGGTAACTAAACTGTTCAGATCATTAAAGGATACTCTTCTAGCACCAGAACATATTTAATTCTAACTATTTATTAGTGAAATATTTTAACGGAAACACATTCCCCTGCCTTCCTAGTTTAACTTTTCCTTGATAATCTGAGATTATCATTAATAAGTAATGTCAATTATTGTCCTGTGCTGTAATTCCTTTATAGACATCCTCAAGAACTATTGGAGCAAATGGCTAATGCCTGGCCCTCCCTATTATTCAGATTAATGACACAGAGACATTAGTACGTTTCCTTTCCATACTATTGTCACCTAAAACTTCCTATCTAGCTTCCCTAAAGTCACTGTGGTTCCCAAAGCATGCACTGCACTTGATTGTTCCTGTGGGTTTTCTTTACCTTGGGCGCCGCATACCACCAACTCTAGCCATTGAAAACCTTGCCATCCTTAATGCCCAGCCTTAGACACATCTTGTCTGTGAAGCCATTCTTGACCCCTTCCAGTCAGAAGAAATTTCTCCCTCCTCTGGGTCACCTGGGGAGTTTGTTCATCCTTTCTTTCATTATTTATCCTCTGGCAGTTGTTTAATGCTTTAGTTTCAAGAACATTTCCATACACAATCTCCAGTTATGCTCACAAAAGTCTGCCATTATCATCATTTCACAGATAAATAAACAGGTTCATAAGAGGTGCAGTCACAGACCACAGCTCTTAAAGTTCCCGTGTCTTCATTTCATAAGTGAACTCTTCTATTAAAGGATATAAGCAAATCATTTTGACCCTAATGGGAAATATCCTAACAGTTTCTATTGCTGGTTGAATGCCTAGTGTTCTTAACATCTATGGAATACTGTAGATTAATAGACTCCATCAGAAGAGCACAGCCTAGTAGTCATGAGGCAATTCCATCCCAGGCCACTCAAACTCCACTAATAGAAAGGAGTTATAAGACAAAGTCAGTCCTTCTCCAGCAACAACCAGTATTGGTTTAGTCCAGTGATTCCCAAACCTGATTCAGCAGCAAAACTGAATAGGGAGCACTGAAAAATATACATGCTTGCCCACACCAGAGCTCCTGAGTGAGAATCTGTAAAGTTGGGGCCTATACATATGTTTGTTTCTTTGTTGTTTTTTTTTAAGTTTCCATCATGATCCCAATGATTACTGTTTGGGGTAGCATTGTGTTAATCCACCTACTATTATCTGGTATTATTGAGATGTGTTTTCTATGATTCATAATGAGTGACACCACTTAGATGAAACCTATTCAGACCAGAAAAGTTTGTGTCAGCTTATGAAAGGCAGAACTTTTTCTTAGAAAAAAATTATAGATCGCTATTTGTGAATGAACTATCTACCCTGAGGCTTACCTACTGCAGCTTAGCCCCTCTTTTTTCATATCATAAAACTGCAAGTAAAAAATAGAATCATGGCTAAGTATAGAGCATGATATTCAAGCAGGAGCACAGTGAAATACATTTGGCTTATTTCTTCTCGCCTCCATTAGATTAGATGTTCAAGAATAGAATGAGCCTTTGGTGAGAGATTCTACTTCTAAGACCATGAATTTCTTACTCACCACTGTCATTGTTGAAATCCTGCAACTTGGACATACAGTTTGCCATTTTAGCTTTGAAAGCCTACAAGAAGCAAAACAGAGCAGAAAGTCACAAGTGGGGCTTCTTGCCACTGTCATCAAGTCCCTCTCTCTACTTGCACACAGCACACTTGACCTCCTCCACTCTGTCAATCCTCATTTCCAGTGCTCTGAATCTAAAACAGCCTTTCTGGAAGCCCTAGGGAACAGCAAGTGCAGCACTACAACTATTAGAAAGGTAGAGGAAACAAGTATAGGAAAAATGGAAAGAAAATCAAAATCTGGTATAAAAAAGATGTATATCCCCAAAACACAGTAATTTATTCAAACAGCATACCTTACTTAATGCATATCAGGCACTGAAATAAACCTGTGAATATGTTATTGAAGAAGACAAGTATTTAAGCAGATGCTCTTGTAATTCATAAAACATAAATTCAACTTAAAATGTTTTATATACCCTATGTTTTGTCTGCAGTTTGAATAAATGTTCAATTCCTGTAAAGTGCTTAAAATTGTACCTGGCCCATTGTAAGCATTCAATACATGTTAGCTATTACTGTAATGATTATTATATGGCAGCCTACAAAGATTTATTTATGTTGCCATGCAGATCCTTTATACACAGTGTCTATTCAAAAAAACCTCTCTCCCAGAGTTTGGAACCACCATATCCAGAGTCTTCCTTATTTAAAGTTGATTCAATTAGGAAATAATTGCTTCATTGAAAAGATGGTAAATAATGAGGAAAAGAAAATTTTGCTTTGTATCTGAACTTTAACAATGAAATTTCTTTATCTTCATAAACTGTATTTGCAGCTTCTATTTCCAGAGCAAAAAGCCCTCAACCTTACCATATGACTACCGTCATGACAGCGTACTTCCCTGCCATTCCTGTCCAAGAACTTGGAAACAAAACAAATGAGATCTCATTATCTGATGACAAATTGACTGATAATAGGTGTCATGCAAAATGATAAAAACCAGCTCCCTCAAGAAGTCACTTTAAAAGTCACTGTTTATTGCAGGGTTAGAAATCACCTAGGCAAAACTTCTGATGAACTGTGAAAGAAAATTGTACCTTAATCAGGTTCAATAACATAGAAAGTGTGGGTAACAAGCAGATGGTTGGCAAGGAATCTGGAAAAGTGGACCCAAATGGCAAGAATTTGGTATTTTTTTCCCACTCTGTCCACAAATGACCAACACCTAATGTAGGGATGTCAGAGGCATGATCCTAGAGGTGTTCGCTATTCTGAGATACAATGTCTGGCACAAGGTGGACATGCAATAAATATTTCTTAGATAACCAAATGAATAACTATCCACTGCCTCTTACAGATACTCAGCTCCACCAGGACCCTTATTATTGTGAAATACTGGTGAAGACAACTATTTCAGTCAGCTGGGGAGTTTTTTACTCACTGTTATTCATGAATTAGAAAATTCATGTGTGAACATATAAGTATCACTTATTGTGAGTTTAGTGTAGGCTGGTCTTCCCAAGTCAGGTCAACTCTGAGGTCCAAGAAACCAACTTTCTGGCCTGCAGGGACCTTGCCAAGGTAACGCCCCCTGTGAGGAACTGTGTACATTGTCCTCTGATCTTTCTGAACACACCCCCCTCATTGAAAGACTTTTTTAGGAAGAAAAGATGTGCTTATCAGAAGGCCCAAGGTATATACATATGTGTACACACACGTCATATTTCCATGTGGATATAATATAGTGTCAATATTGACGAAAGCCTGAAGGAATAGTTAATGCTCAGAGGATAATGTAAATCATTGTGTAAAATAATCCTCTCTTTTCAGTTATACAACTGAAAGATGTATCATCTCTGAAGTTATTTTCTGTGTGTTTTGTTCAGTACTTGAGAACATAGGTTTTGGGGTCAGACAGATAGACACAGGTGGGAACCTTGGTTTGGCCACTTGACTAGCTGTGCATATATACCAACTTCTGGGTTAAGATGTTTTCCCATTTATAAGATGGAGATGACAACAGTGGCTTCATTACAGGATTGAGGGGAGCAGGACATGAGATAGCTTCTTAGCACAGTTTTTGGCCAACATGATATATAGGGTGGCTATTTTTATTATTAGTCTCTAGGGGAGCCCTCAGACTGTGGTTATCTTTTATTTTTATTGTCCTTCTATATACATTTTTGCATGTCTATTGGAGAGAATGAACCTTCTTTTCTAAACGTGATTAATTCCTCTCGTAAGAATATGGTGAGAGTGGTGCAGGGATGCACTCAGGGCACCTATCTTGCCCAGTGACAGTCCTCTGCTTTGTGGGGAACTAGTGAACTTCATTTGAAAGGCAGGATGACTAATTTTGTCTAGAAGGTGAGCTACTCCACTGTAATTCGCCACCACTCGCAGGTCAGCTGTGACGAGCCGCAGCAGTATACTGGAGCCGGGTCATCGTGGCTCACCAGAGCCCCTGTGAACATCACGTCCCAGCTCCACCCCCAGTGACATCACACTGATAGCAAACACTATAAACCTCCTTGTGGCTAGGCAGGCAGCAAAAGGAGTAAGAGCCTTTACTTGTTCTAGGAAACAGCAAGCTAGTATAATTTCATTTTCTTGTAGGGAGAGAGAAAATGGCAACCATCTACACAGAGGAAGGCTGGGAGGTAAGAAAGTGAGCAATGAGAGGACTAGTGCTCAGAGCCGCTCTCTGCCAGGCACTGAGCAGGGTGCTTTACACCCCAAATCGAGACACTTGCCTGGGAATCACACTAGCACTTGGATGTTGCTGTTGGCAGAATGAGAAACCCACATCTTGAAAACCTATTTTCAGGTGCTGTATCTTACTTCTTTGCCTTTTCACTTTTCCTTAACATCATTGAAATTCCTTTTGAAAATGCCAGCTAAGCAAGAATAAAGCAGAGAGAACAGCACAGCAGTGTAGGCCAACTCCACTGACTAGATTAGAGACCTGTTAACATGTTGGAAACTCAGCTAGGTTGGGCCACTCTAAAACAAAAGCTGAGATGAAGGGGAAACCAAAAGAGCTGGACACACAAACCTCTGCACTCAGACACACAGACACACTGCCCAACAATCACATCTCCCCATTTTGTATGAGACCACAGCTGATTTCTCTCTGAGGTCACCTACACAGGAGTTAAGAAAAAATAGACTGAATTTGGGGGCAGTACTGGGGACATGGCAAAAGTAGCCAGATACATTCCTGCCGTTAAAGAACTTATAACCTCACTGGGGAAAAAAAAGGTAACAAACAATTCATTTAATTAAGTATTTGGTTCAGCACTCAGTGGACTACAGCTCATTACAGCTGAATTAACAATCGCTAACCTTCAAGGAGGGTTTACTGTGTGTCACGCACTTTCCTAAGTGTTTTATGGGTATTAATTCACTTAACCATCACAATAGCTCCATAAGATGGTGGTTACTATCCCCATTTTAAAGATGAGGAAACTGAGGTACACAGATAAGGAAATTCACTCACCCAAAGAAGCTCACTGACTGAAGAGAAGACAAATAATTTGTTTTAAATATGTTGGATTTAAGATGACAGTCAAATATCCAAGTGGAAATGAGAGTTGGGGATGTGCTCTGAGAGTGGCTCAGAAGACAAGACTTTGCACAAGTTATGAGAGAGGTTGTAATAATAGTTGTGTTCTTGGAGGGAGAGAGAAGAGAGAGGAGCAGAGGACCTCACACTGAAACTATAGAGTGCTCACCTTTAAGAGCAAGAGGAAAAATAAATGCCGAAAAAGGGAAAGAGAGAAGCTGGATAGTGGAGTAAATGGCTTCTTTGATGACATTCTTTCCTAGGTCAGAGGTGGGCAATTAATAAAAATTAAATTTCACCAAATTAGAACATCACCATGTTGTAGAGTCCTTAGCCCTGTGTCTTACATGGAGATATGAAACAGCTGTCGTTGAATGAATGAATGAATGAATGAATGAAGTATAGGACATTTCTACGATAGTACCTTAAATGTGTCCAGTTCTTCTGAAAAGATCACAAACTTTACAGTTAATTGTTTTTTCAAATGGTGCTTGGCAAATATTAAAACTTCATCAAACATAATCTCTGCTGCTGTACTCTTCCATTTACCAAAGCTTTCAATCCCAAGGGCAGGAAAGGAAATGGAAGTTTTATTTAGCTCCAGGCATTTTTTCAAACACATCTTCATCACATTTTTCAGTATCTGTAAGATAATCAGATTGGCCTTTGAGTCGAAAATAAGACTCCACTTACCCCCTTGCCTTTGCCCACATTTTACAGTGCCAACCTCCACCCTTCCTCAGGTCATATCCTTGCCTCCTCAGAGTCAGGAAAGGTCCCACTACAGTTATATGGGTAGATGATGAGAGATGAAAGACTGAGGAACTGGGTGGCCCATTCTGTGCCATGCAGTCAGTGCCAACCTCCACCCTTCCTCAGGTCATATCCTTGCCTCCTCAGAGTCAGGAAAGGTCCCACTACAGTTATATGGGTAGATGATGAGAGATGAAAGACTGAGGAACTGGGTGGCCCATTCTGTGCCATGCAGAACCTTAGGGCACCATGATTTCTCCCAGGTTACATAGCCTTGCCCACCTCCCCAGGTCACAGAGCCAGCCATCAGTTTCTCCCCATGCACTGGCCACTTTCAGGTTAACATAAAGAGCTCTTGGAAGTTTAATAAAGGATGTAGAGGTTAATCTAAGTAAGCAGAAGTCTTTCAATGTCTTCAGGATCTGCCAAGTAATTTCTCCTTGAGAAGTGATAGTATATTTGGCAGATTTAAACTTTCCATCATTTCAACATCCAAACTGAATACTAATACAGAAAGGTTGTAACTGAGGGGTAGAGAGTGACTGGAGAATCAATTTGGGATTAGTGGGCCAAAAATGCAGACAAAATAAAGATAAACAAAGGCAAGGAGGGGGATTAAGTTTCCCTCTCTCATTCTTTAATGCATTTAGTTTATGTGCCTTGGGTGTAGAGTTCAGCCAGAAAGCCAAGCTCTACAACAGGCACAGGTGGGAAGGTGCCACAGGGAAGAGATCTGACTTGAATGGTGCTGGAAGGGAAATCTCAGATCCTCCTGGAATTTAACAGATGGGAGGAAATATGGAGAGGCCGAATGCCAGGCTCACTTAGGAAAGGGCCTACAGGGTCATGGTGTGGTGAGGTGAATGGGTATGCAGACTCATAGAGCCCTGATGGTTCTGTGTCTACTTGTGGTATGCCCACCTAAAATTTAGATATGGGTGAGATAATATTTTAAATTAAACGTCTTAAGATAACTGTGACAACAGCACTTGTTCAGTATTTCAGGTATTCACAAGGAGTGTGTTCTTGGAGGGAGAGAGAAGAGAGAGGAGCAGAGGACCTCACACTGAAACTATAGAGTGCTCACCTTTAAGAGCAAGAGGAAAAATAAATGCCAAAAAAGGGAAAGAGAGAAGCTGGATAGTGGAGTAAATGGGGACTAAACCACTTGACAATATTTCATGAATATAACGACATGATGGAAATTCAACAAAGGCTATGTAGAGTATGGAGTTACATAAAGGTAAATTTGTTTTGACCTTACCATATTTAGTTCATGATATCCTGAAGGCCACAACACATGGAATACATATTCACAGGGCAATTTAAATCCTTCTGTGACCAGGATCAACTGTGAATCTTGAGGTACCTTAGCCATTTTTTTCCTGAATTCCCACTCTATTTCATCTCCTGCTTGTTGTAGAATTGATTTCGACACAGTTCCAACTCGAAGACCACCACATGGATGTACAGAATTAACAATTACATCTGTCTGAAAGAGGAAAAAAATGACAGGATTCATTATTAAATTATTTTTTATTAAATCTATTTCCAGGAAGAGCTTTGAAAAATATCATTAAAGACCCTAAAGCCCCAAAAATACCACTTAATAATGGATAGAAACTCGTATTTCCAAACTCATTCGATTGCAGTGCGTCTGTTCGCCCTCCTCAGCAATTCGGCCAAGTACCTGAATGATACACTTTTATGGCAAAGGTCTGCTTACCCTGCCCCCATACTCCCAGACTTTGAGCATTTCCTGTGATTTTTTTGAAGCTTTATCAATAAATGGTTTCCTTCCCAGCCCCAATGTCATCACTTTTTACTATTTCTCTGTGAATTTTGTTTTGTTTTGTTTTACACAGTGTGGAAATAAAATTTCTCAGGAAATTTCTATGCTCTAATGCTCTTATTTATTTGTTTAGTTATTTTTAATGCTTTTTTTTTTTTAAGGTGAGTAGTACATGGATGAAGAAAGCACAAATGATACAAAGAAGTCGTTAGTGAAAATAGGCCTCTGACTTGGTGGGGTCCCTAGCTCCCCCACTCACCCACCTATTCTATAGGCAACCACTTTTACCAGTTCTTCATTATTCTTTCAGAAATAGACCATACATATACATGGGCTATATTTTAAGTATCACTTCCTAGTTAGCCCTCAGAGGTATATAAAAGGGAGTTGTATCCTTCTTTCCTCCCATGCCCAAAGTCCCCTAAATCATCCTGATGGCATTGGCTCTCTTTGTGGGTGGCACTGATACTTCTCATGGGTGTTAATGAATGCTCCGCTTTGAGAGTACACTCAGACTTTGGGAGCACTGAGATGCTTTAAAAGTTTTAACGTTGGCAATAAACAAATACAATAAAACTTTAAAGGGATATGTTTTTCAATTAAGATGTTTCCACTTTAAATTGGCATCTTAATGACTTATCACATAAATACTTCATTTCATCGGGTCCCCTCAGTCTTTTTTCTAATTGTCTTGTAGGTGATAAGTGGTATTTTTCCCCTAATGATCAAGTCTATTTGATTGTGGCCACAGAAGTGTCATAAGTGTGACATCACTAACCCCCCCCCCAAAAGAAGAACATGGCTTTACATTCTTTCTCTTCCTCTG